ATCCGGATCACCACCAAAATGTAATCAATTCTAAGTTACCCCATTTCTGCCCTATCCTGAAAATTTTATTAATTAATGAATGAATGAAATAATTAATTGGATCCGGATCACCACCAAAATCTCATCAAATTTTAAGTTAGCCCATTTCTGACGTATCCTGAAAATTTTATGACAATCTGTCCAAAACTTTTTCAGTTAGGCTTAACCTGTATGATACAGGTGGTTCCGGCGCGGCGGCGGTGGCGGGCCAATCAGCCAATCAGCGAGCGTACACAAACCCACAAACCAACACTCAAACACACGCCGGTAAAAACATAACCTCCGCCAAGCCCCTGGCGGAGGTAACAATTATGACCTGTGCACTCCATTGCTATAAAGATTCACAGAAATTTGTGCCAGTTCATACCATTTAGAAGAGATTCACCAAAGACAAGGAAGTAGAGCATAGTGTTCACACCAAGCTCCTGGAAGATTGCCAAAACCTGCCAAAATATTATTGCGTGCATAACCTATATTAGTGCAAACAGATGCGAGACATATAACAGTTGTTAATTCATAGTTAGTTTGTATAAATGAGGCAAGTAGATGAATATAATACAGTCAAACCTATAAATTGCTAAAAATGTCCTTCAGAGACAAGTGTCCATTCTAGTAAATTGGTTTCACTTACGAAGAGACTTTGTAAGTGCTAGATATGGGGTTCTTTTATTCATTTCTGGGGAGTTCTTGTAGGGTATCTTACTGAGAGAGAGAGAGAGACATACACACATGCACACGCACACACAGAGACACAGTAAGCAAGTAAGTAAAAACTTTATTTAACGACGGTAAAACATGTTAGGTACAGACACTATAAATTGTCGCGGACCTATCTTCCACATGTCCGTCTCACAGCAACAAAACGATTAAATATTAAATAAATACACAATAAGAGTTGAAGTACTTGGACTAAAATGTACGGGGTAAGTAGAACACAATGGGCCCTATTGATAGGGAAAGATTTTCTTTAGACGGACTTAGACGCACGCATGCACGTACGCACACACGCACACACACACACACATACACATAGACACACACACATGCACACGCACACATAGAGACACACACACATATACATAGAGACACACAAACCTACACATAGAGACACACACACATACACATAGACACATACACACATATACACAAGTGCACACACACGTGCACACGCACACACGCATACACCCACACATGCACATAGAGACACATACACATAGAAACACACACACGCACGCGCGCGCACGTACGCACGCAAGCACACATGCACACACACACACACACACACCAACACACACGTAAGTGCACACACGCGCGAGCGCATGCATGCATACACCTTAACACGTGCAATGCATGCAGACTCACAACTGCTAATACTACACTACTGAGCTCAAGATGGATGAAATTGCTGAATACATTGTACTCTGAATATAACTCCTACATTCATACGTGTTCCTAACATTTCACGCCACACTATAACTTTGCACACTGCATTCAACGCAACTGACACTTATGTGAGACTAGTGATCGTGATTTAGTGAGACGCTTACGGCTACAGGGTCGACTGCAGCTATCAGAGAGCTAAATGCCAGACACGTGATGAAGCTCATCCTCAATGTTCCCATCGCACCTGCTTCCATCAGTAGATACAGCGCTGGACCTACAATTAAACAGCAAACCCAATTGATATCTACCCCTGGTGCCCACTTTCATCACCAAATGGCCACCTGCCTGGGAAGCTACGTAACTACGTCATAAGTTCGACAAAATAGCTGTTACCATAGTCTATACGATTAGTCGAAACCAGTAGTTTATCAACCAATCTTATAGTTTCATAGCATCGAATTCGCATGTCCGATCGATCTCTTTCTTGTTGTACCTGCTTTCATTCGTGACATACCTTAGCATGTAAATGTTGTACCCCACATTCGCGATGATGTGACGATAAGGGTCTACGCTCCTGCTAAACACACACGACTTAATTCATATTGGGTGATGTAACAGAACGCTTTTCATGCAGGAAAGCACAAGATGGTCGTGACAAACTCCAAGGCTTACGCGACCGAATTTAGTGAATATTGTAAATATTCCGATCTTCACATCACTTAATAAATTTGAATATCACTATACCTAGTTAACTTACCAATCGTAAATATGTTGATGAGCGTGCCAATTACAGCATAGACAAGAACAGTCCCAAAGTTGTCTAAGAAAACTCTATTGTGTAGAGAGTAACCAGACTCCAGTACAATACTGCAAAGAACAAAGTGGACCTCAGAATATATCTGACATATATGAATAAGTTACAGATATATTGAAACCTATATTATGATGGCCACTGATTGGAATCTCCAAGTGTCTTTTATAGACAGTTGTCAGTTATTCGATGGAGGTGGTTTTATTACCACATAACTGCCAATAGAAATGCTAAGTTTCCTTTACAGATAGAGGTATTACCACTAGTGTTGTCAATCAGTTGTAATTTCGTAATCGATCATCGGTTGGACCCAAGTATCCGATGATCGGTTACAATCGGTTACTCGGGGTGTTGAATGCCTGCGTGTGAGTAACGTCGTGTGCATGTACGTGTGTGCATGTATGTGCTTGTTTACAGTTTGTTTTGCACTGTTTACTACTGTGTGTATAGTACATGTATGTTAATAAAGGATAACTTGTATAGTAGCGATGATATCTCTGATTCTCATCACTTTTCCAAGTTTAATAAAAAAAATTTTTTCGATGAAATCGATTATGGATTTTGATAACCAAGCGCTTGGTTCGAGCCACTGTTCAACCGATGATCGAGTATAATCGATCATCGTGACATCACTAATTACCACTAATGCAGGTCTGACTGTATCAAGAAATGTAGGTTCGTAACAAAGTAATAAGCGCATACACAATCATCTCATGAAGTCATGTATAGGTAACATATGTATGTAGTATACAGGTTCATGCTAATAGTAGTATGTACTGCGTCACATTAGCTTCGGAATGAAATCATATTTATAAGCACACACAAGTTTGTAAATCACACGATTTTGCTGACTGAATATGTTGACTTTAGAAATACAATAGATGCTATTTGAACGTCCGCTAGGTAAACGGGCGAGACAAAACCACTATGCAGTTATTTGCAGAGGTTGAAGTCACGTACGGAGGCAGCAGTACCAGAAAGAACAAGTACTCCGAGAATTTCGGCATGTCATTTGACACTCCTCCTCCAAAGCTACACAAAAGAAAGACAGATACCGACTCTGATTACAACAACAACATATCCTACTAATGGATGTCCATGTACATCTCAGTACACATGAATGATTTGACCAATTTTAGTTTTATACTGCACAACTGTTACTAAACTTAAATGGTATATATAGCAGCCGATCAGCTAATAACTTGAAACAACTTGAAATGTGAATCCAAACTTAGTACGCAATACATTATTTTACCCAAACACTGGTATATACACACATGTAGGGGCACTTTTAGGGTCATATCATCACGTATTAATAGAACATAAGAAGTACCCAAGAGAATAGACTACTTACTGGATTGCTATTCCAACTAAGGTTCCCACTAAAACCAGCATGCTAGCAAAAACAAGAAATACAGATTAGAAAGCCGTATATATAGTCAGTCATACATTTAGTCTAAATGTATATCAGTGTACATATCTGGTCATTTATATATATATATATATATTGGAAATTAAATCAATCAGTGAACAGAAGATGGCTCATAGTAAAGTTGTTTCAAATTGCAATCAAACAATTAATCATGGTAAATCATGCTCATATGATGGCATTGCTAAAAGACAAATGTCTATACGTGCATTTGACATAATACCGCATGCTACTTACCATGATTCCGGGATGATTGTTGGCAAGTAGGGAGTCTGATGAAATGCTGTTGAGAAAAAAACAAAAAACAATTCAAACACTTTGTGAGCTTCCATAAATCAGTCAAACAACCTCTTAGTAACAATGTTTTTTATCCATTTTATTTCAATAATAAATTTATTCATATATGTTCTAAAAAGCATTTCAGGGTTTATGTAAACAACTGCACATTACATAGTACAAATACAAAGGGCACACCCACATTATAGAGCTGAACAACTAACTCTGTAAACGTTTGATGTAGCAGTAAGAGACGACGCAGGTATTTGACTGGCGGTGCAGGTGACTCAGGCCATAATAAAAATATTGTTTGTTTGCCCCCACCCGACCAACCCGTCAAAAAGAGGCCGATTCAAAAAAAAATTATTGAACTTTCCCATTCTTTTTTTTTACAAATTGTATCACTGTACGTTATATAAATCTGTAGGTAATACATTATATGTACCAAGCAAAACAAACATTCAAGATAAAAGGTATCTCCATACAAGCACACCCGAGCATGTAGACACCATGCTGAATTTGTAAAAAGAAGCCCCCCCCCAAAAAAAAGTCGACCTACCTACCCAAAATTTTCAGCCTGGGTCGGGTGAGGGCAAACAAATATTTTTTTAGTTATGGCCTCACCGAACTTACACCAGGCAGTCACGACGAGAAACAAGGTACAGGTGATTAAATGGTAGCTTCACATAGTCCCACCGCCATAATGCGAGGTCTATGTGAACAACTAGTGATAGGACATATACAAAGGGCACACCCACATTAGACTCAATTTAGAGCTGAACTTGTAGTAATAAGTGACACTGTTATTTGACTGGGGTTGTAGGTGACTCACCGATCTTACACCAGGCAGTCACCACGAGAAACAAGGTAATAGTGAGTGGTATCTTCACATGGTCCCACCGCCATGATGCGACATGTATTCCTTCGCTGTTCTGGTGTGTCAACTCTCCTGAAATTAATTGTCATTAAATTTAACTTACAAATGTAATGCTAATGATTTTTTACCATGAACAAAATGATGTGTAAGACATTTTCTACAGTTCATAAAATATTGAAATGTACTCCACAAAACAATATCACAGTGATCAAAAGTGTTATCCTTGATATATCTGATAAATTCTGATCATGTGTGACAACGTTCGACCATGCATATACTGGGGGCGAAATTAACACGAGTCGGAAGTCAAATACTCCCCGATTTACTGTCGGACTCCCTGATTTGACATATCATGCATCAGTCCGCGTGACTCCCTGAAAATTCTGCTACTGTATACTAAACCAACATTTCTTGTTAGTTAAATTTTAATATGAAATCTTCAAAATAAGCACATGCGTTATTGTTAATTAATATCTTTTAGTTTAGAACTTGCGACCAACATCTACTCGCACCTTGTTTGAGCAGGGTACCACCTGAAGTGATGTTGCCCAGTTTTTCCGAAGGTTCCACCTCATCCGGTAGATTTTCAGAAGGAACCTTCTCTGATGGGTGCTGCTTTGCACCCACAGTCAAGATCCCTAGGACCAAAAGGGCCAAACAACACAGCAACGTTGTCCTCAGCCTAAAAAAATATTTCTACATATTTCTTTACCGAGACTAGAGTCGCGTTCACACGGTCATGGTTTGGCTCAAGCCAAATGGGCTAGATTTGGCTCGGGCCGGTTTCAGTCGGAAGCGTTCAACGTACGGCCAAGTGAATACTGTCTGCCAATTCAAATTCAAATAAATTTTTTCGCACAAATATCTCACAGATACTTGGCAGTATGTCGCGAGATGGCGTTTGTTACGATTCCAGAGTGTTTAACTTACGTCCGAAGTTTAATTATCAATCTTGAAAATGTGCATTCTGATCAAATTTTTCGAATTTTTATAGGAAGTGTCTAAACAACCGGATCCGGTTTCGGTATCCTGAAAACTAAACAACCAGCTCTCTTCTCTGATTGGCTAATTTTGTCACTATTTATTTTTTATTTGGCTAATTTTTATTTTATTTTAGAATTAGGATAGGGTTAGGATTATTGTTAGGGTTAGGGTTAGGGTCTATATCTCTAACTTTCAAGCTGGTTGCAGTAGCTCAACCGAGTCAACGGTAGAGCGTTCGCTTCGTTATAGTAAAGTACCGTGTTTCGAACCCCATAATGTGTTTTTATTTTCCTTGCTTCTGCTTATTTTCTTGAATTTATTTGTTTCTGCATTTAATTGTTCCGTATTCATTTATTTGTTCTGTAACTTTTGTTTATGTTCGGAATTAAATATATTATTTCTTTATGTTTTGCATTAAAAATTTTCCTATTATATATTTGTCCTGTTATGTTCGGAAACTGACCAATCAGAGGAAGAGACCGGTTGTTAGTTTTCAGGCCTCCGAAACCGGGTCCGGTCGTTTAGACACTACCATTTTTATACTGTTTTGGACTTTATTTCGTCGAAGTACACGTTCGACCTCTCGGGGCGCAGCTCCGCTCAACGCGATTCTACCGCTCTACGCTCGCCGAAAGCTGGTGCTAAAATTTGGCTCGGGCCTGGGTCCGACGTTTTCGATGGGACCAAACGCTGGCAGCGCTAATTAGGCTGAGAGGGTCTATGTCCCCCGGGGTACTGCCGGAACGTACACTGGCTAGGGTCCGGTTATACCGGAACGTACCCTGGTGTAAGCTAATATGCCGAACCGTACGTCGCCTACTCCACTAAACGAGTCTAGGGAGTCGCCTACGCCTACTCCCTAACCCGAACCCTAATCTAATCCTAACCCTAACCATATCAAATAGTGACAGGGTACGTTCGGTATATTGGACCGTAACCCAGGGTACGGTTCCGCCAGTACCTGGGGACATAAGCGACCCTATGCGCCCTAATTAGGCTCGGGCCAAAAACGTCCGTGTGAACGCACGGCTCGAGCCAAATCTGGCGCCCTAGAATCCCGCCCACCAATTACTGACATTGAGCTAATAATGATCGATATTGATCGTTATTGATTCTAACAGTCTTTGTATGATGACTAAAACTTCAGAGGAAATACA